CAAGACCATTGGAAAGCTGAGGTAGGTGTACCAGCTCAGGAGATGATTACCTAAAGCATCCCAGTCTTTGTCTCAGTCTTATCCTCAGTTTCACTGGAACTAAAAGATAAATGACATCATTGTGCCTCATTACCTTGAGCTAGGTTTAAGTGTTGAGTAACGCTTGCTTCACTCAGAAGTTTTAAAAGCAAGGTTCAAGACAATTGGAATTTTGAGACACTAACAGTATCACTATGTAGTAGGTAACCAGTGAGAAAAATACCTTGCACTAATATTGCCCCATTTCCCCTCATCCTTATATCACTCCCATCACTGACAAAAGAGGTGGGCTATTTAAACTTGTGCATTCTAGGAAATGGAGGTCAGATGCAACTGGTAGAAAATACACAGCCCGCTATCTGAAATTCATGCCGTACCTTTGCTCCAGGTCAAAGGCTAGTTGGATGTAGGATACCACTAGGAAGCAGTATGGAGTCATCAATTTATTGATAGGTCTTAAGTTGGATTGGAACTCTTTATAGGAAGTTCTTGCCTAACAAAAGTGCAAGAAAAGTGATAGAACATTGGAAAGGTAATAAGTAAAAATACCTGTGATCTGACTGACAATTATTTACCCTGTAACCTTGAGCAAATAGCTCTTGGCCTCAATTTCCTCATCTGTAAATGTAAATGAAATAATATACTACTTAACCCATAGGGTTGCTATGAGATTCAAATGAAATTAAAAACCACAAAACACTTTATAAACACACAAATATGTATGTATATATCTATATCTATCTATATGTGTGTGTGTGTGTGTGTGTGTGTGTGTGTGTGTGTGTGTGTATACATACACATGTAGGTTATTTCTGGTCTCCACATCTTTGATATCAGAGGATACTGAGAGGATCAAAGGCATTGAATGGGAAAAGAAGAGGGACCAGTTAATACTGAGGGTAATAGGATCTTTTATTTGGCTTGTTTAAGGGAAAGTTCAGAAGAGGAGGCTCCTCTAGGTTTTAATTGCAGACAATGAAAATAATAGGAGGCAGGAACAACAAGGGAAGGAAACTGAGGCAGCCCAGTGAACTCTCTTGCACCAGAGCCAACCAAGACCTAGATCTCTAACGTTGAGTAGCCCATCAACCTCTTTCATACTGGTGCCAGTGTAGAGACTTAACCCTTCCAAAATGGAAATGAGAAGGGGCAAGAGGAAGAGTTACAACCAGGTGTAACCACAGTGGGTTATTCTTTCTCTGGGATTGTGGCTTTCCCTATAGCTACTTTTTTGGCTTCTCCCCGTCTAGAGCAGTGTTTTCTGTTTCAAAAATAGGCTGAAGTAATGGCAGATGCTTGCCTTGAAACCCGTGACCTCCGAGATGGGAAACTAATCTGATTCATCTGAGACAGACCTTGCCCTTCCTATGACACACCTGAGAAGCTCTGATCCTGTAGCTTAATTACCAAGATTTGAACAAGTTGTCCTGAAGCATGGGCCAAGAAGTCCTATTTCATCATGGAATCCTAGATCACAGAACTCTGACTTCCCATTATATCCTGAAGAACATCTCTCTGATAACATCCTTGTGTATTTTTTTTAGTCACATTTCTGGTAGGCTCTACAGTTGCTCAAGGCACTTCAGGCTTCCAGCTTTAAGAGAGAAGATGGATGATGCTAGATGGTGCTTCAGGTTGCTTCAGGAAAAGACTCTGGGAAGAAGCTGACATAAGAGGAGCTAGTGTTTCCATCATGTCCCTGTCCCATCTTGTTATACTAGAGACTTCAGGGTATTTCCCCTTGGGTAAGATCTGGGACACTCTTTTTCAGTTGAGTTGCTTTGTGCTCAATAGGAGAGCTCCTTCACTTTGTATTGTCTGGTAGATATTTTCCTATGTTTACTTTCTCTGATATCTGTTTTGCTACAGATTTGGATGAATGAGTTTCTTTGTTACTTCTTACATGTATTCATTGTAGAACTAGTATTTGGTGGGAAAGGAGTCAAGCATTGGATAAAAAGCTTGGGTCCTCTTTCCCCCCAATTAATGAACAGCAATCAGAAGTTTAGCTTGAACTTGAAAATCACATCCCCTAATAATATTTAAGACAGCAGATAGGTATAATTCTAGCCTGGTACCTCTTCTCTTTGAGGAAAGCAGAGTGGCCAAGCTTTTAGCCTCAACTTGCCTCTTGGCAAGAAATAAAGCCTCCCTTGGAGAAGAGTAGGTGGAAGAGAGGTTAGTGATGTCTTTTCTGCCTCCCTCTGAGCCCCACAACATCTCCCTGTTACATGTGGAGGACAGCCCTTCTGCATATATTGTAAGAAATGATGACAGGGATGGTTTCAAAGGCACCTGAGAAGACTTGCATGAATTGATGCAGAGAGGTGAGCAGAATTTAGGGAACAAGTTATACAATCATTGTAAAGAAAAACAATGAAAGGACTTAAGAGGTTTGTCAATGCAATGACCAACAGAGAGTAGAGTGGATGTATGATAAAGCATGCTACTCACCTCCTGACAAAGAGGTGGTGGACTCATGGTGCAGAATGAGACAAATTGTTGGAGGTGGCAATGTGGGGATTTGTTTTCCTTGACTATGCATATTTTATGAGTCATTTTTTTCTTTAATTTTTTTCGAGGGGAGATTTGGGAAAGGGGATTGTAAGCAATAGAGTTGCCAAAAAAAAAAAAGAAAAAGAAAGAAAGAAAAGAAAGAAAAGAGGGTAAATGAAGCATTTTTAAAAGGTACAGAAGAGAATAGAAGGAAGGCCAGAAGGAAACAGACCTACAAACAGCTTTGAAAGTCATATGTTGAATTTTTATGTATAAAGCAAATTGCACATAATAGAGACTTGTGGTTTTGTATACAACCCTCTTTTTCTGTTCTATTTTGTACACAGAAATGCTCATTTTATCTGTTGTTTGCTGAATTCAGAATTTTAAGAATGGAGAAAAACAGATGAAAAAGAAAATGAAATTTGTGATACTGGTATCTCATTCTCTACATTTCGCTGAACCCTATATCACCTCTGTGTAAAGCAGGAAATGGGGCTATTCAGTTTAGGAGAAGCTGAGGGGGGATTGTCCCTCATAAATAGATGCTCATCCAAATTAGGAGTTCCCAGAAATCATTTTGTTTTGTTCTCAGTTCACATCTGTGATATCTTCACAAGTCTCTTTTCTTCTCCACAAATTTACCTTTCTTGTGAAATAAATGACCAGAGACAGAGACTAGAGTCCTGAAAGCCAGTGAGGTTCAATCGTTACCTAAAGGCAATAGGAATGACCATATAGCATTTAATTTACATTTTAAATTCCATTATTTTTTTTAAAGCAGCTTGCCTGTAACATTTAGATTTTCACACAGTAACAGCCATATTGTTTGATGACTGACTTTGATAGACTTAGCTCTTCTCAGCAATGCAAGGATCTAAGACAACTCCAAAAGACTCAACATGGAAAATGCTATCCACATCCAGGGAAAGAACTTTGGAGTCTGAATGCAGATGGAAGCATACTATTTGTTCTCCTTTTCTTTTGTTGTTTTGTTTTGTTTCTTCTCTCTCGAGGTTCCTCCCATTAGTTCTAATTCTTCTTCACATCATGACTAGTGTGAAAATATGTTTAATAGGAATGTATAAGTAGAGCCTATATCAGATTGCATGCTGTCTTGGGGTAGGGGAAGAGAGGGAAGGGAAGAAAATTTAAAACAAAATCTTATGGAAGTGAATGTTGCAAACTAAAAATAAATAAATTAATTATTAAAAAAAAAAAAGAATTCCCCAGTTGAAAAAACAAACAAAAAACCAAAATATCTACCTAAACCCCTTCCCCCCAAAAAAACCATTTAGCTTTTCTTAGGAGTGAGGGGAACTCTTGCAAGGTAGGAGTGGTGACTGCTGTCTGATTTTTCTCAAAACCTTTTATCATCTATGTACAACCTTCAGCATCAAAAATATAGACAGATCAGACAGCACAATGCCTGTTTGCTTCTCCTGAAATCTCCTGCCAGTTGAAGTAAAGATCAAGTCAGTCACTTGTTTCTTCCTGTGATGCCAGCTGCTGGAAGGCTTCGTTTTATTAGGAAGAGCTCTGCCTAATTGCATTACTTATCTTTGTGCACAGAACTACTCTTTCCCTCTCGCACCTGACTGTCTCCAGGCCAAAACACATAATCCTGCACTGCTGTCCCAGGGGCCTCGACGCGATTCAGTTAAAGGACCTAGAGGGCCACTCGTGGCCTGGAGGCCACAGGTTCCCCACCTCTGGTAGTCTATGCAAACCTCCTAATGAGAAAGAGAAGTAGCTATCTGTTTTTAGGCCATTTGAAATAGGTGGATTTTGCAGATGTGGAGAATTGCCTGTACACCGTAGTCATACAACCAATGGAGGGACCGGAGACCGTGAAGCTTTCTAGGAAGAAGCTCAGGTTTGGGAGACCATGGCTCATTCTCGTACTGAATGTTATGATAACATGGAGATCTTTCACATGAAGTGTTGTCTGAGGCAACTCAGAAACCTTCATATACTTCTCGATGCGAAGAAGGGCCCTGATTTCTTCTTACTGAAATCCTATTGGTCACTTTCCATCTTACTGGCCATGATTGTTTTGAAGGGGAAGCAGAGAAGAGAGGGCTGGTTGGGGTTTTCATGTTGGCCTAGTAAAGAATGGTAAGGACTAGGGTACACTAAATACTGAATGTAAGACTCTCAACTTGTTCCCAGTGCCTTTGTTTCTAACTGAGCCGTTAGAAGAGCCTTTGCTAATGTCCACAGTTTGTTTGGCAGGTGTAGGTTGTAAAGAGAATTGAATAAAGTATAGCTACCTCTCCAAGTAGGTCTCCAGTCTTAACTGTTGTTTGGTTTGATTTTTTTTTTTAAATTTGAAACCATTGAGTAGAAACATGAGATGGTGTTTTTTTTCCCCCTAAGAAGGGCAAACCAGTGAACCCAGATGGGAGTGCTAAGAGGGCGGGGCTCAAATGAAATGAAAGAGCCTGTGCAGGGAAGTTAAAGGGGAAGGATTTGTCCATTTTTAACTTGCCACTTGTCATTTTTCCTGCCCTTGTGGGTGAAAGAAATGAACTATAGTTGGAAGATGTCTTGGTGAGTGTTGCTAAAGATAGTTAGAAAAAGGGCTATTTTAATCTAGAATCCATCCATTTGTTTGTTTATCAGTCTGTAGTTATGTTATTTGGTAGCCCATTTTGAATGCTTGAGAAATAGGGGCAAAGAAGGGACACTGGTAAAATAATCTGAATCCAGGTGGGGTAGCTTACTGAAAATAGACAATTGGATCTGATGGAAAGTAGGGGAGCTGGGTAGAGGAGCTCTCCCTTACATGTCTGTAAATAGAGAGCCTTTGCCTCCAAAACAGGAAACCAGAGCAACCCAATGTTTTGTACATGTGTCCTGGAAATGAATACACCGGGCAGTGTTTAGAATAAATGGAATGAGACAGATAGGACTTGCCTTCCCAGAATAGCTATGCCTGGGGTATTGGAATCAGAGAAGGGTTTAGTAACCATCAGAAGGAAGAACAATGAATTTAGGGAAGTACAGTGAGACTTCCTCTTCTTTCAAAACAGCTTCATTCCCTGGTCTGCTTGTGAAGGGAACCCTGTTGTTCACTGAGCCTTCCCAGTAGCGTCTGCTTAAATGGAATGGAAAACCTCAGCTGTTGCCCTCTATGTTAAGAGTTTTCTGAATTTGGGGACACCTGAGTCAGCTCTTGGACTTCTCCCCCTTTTACTCCATGTAAGTAGCATGACTCCTTGGTCTATGTATGGGAAACAATTGCTGGGTGTATGTATTAGGGCAAAGCTGTGGGCAGCCCAGGCATCATCTTGATTTCAGTGGGGTATCTCCTAAAGGGTGAGTCTTGGGAAAACAGATCTTCAGCTTGGCTCTTTGTAAACCTGCTTTTACAGCAACAGGATCAAAGGGTGGTATGGAAGGTGTCCTTAAGTTGGGGGCTTGTCGGAAGGCAGGAATTTGAAAGGGCAGTGCTGTGTACTCAGGCTGACCCTCTCCTGCTCTGAAATGGATGGAGTATTGATAGCTGTTTGGACCATCCACTGTGGGGCTGATTCAGACCGGCACAATGCTACGTTTGTGTGTGCTCTGTAAAGTTCATTTGGGGAAAGTCTTGCAGTAGCATCCCTGTCTGAGGGAGTGTGTGCTCTTTGTGCCTGACTTGCTGTCCATCCTCCCTACCCTGTCTGCTGTTAAAATTCCCCTCCCTACCCTGATGCCTACAGCTGGTGGAGATTTCACTTCAAGCAAAACCAACACGCTGAAGAACTACAGTAAGGATTGAAAGGAGAGCCAAGCATTGGCAAGGTGCTGCTTGTTCCAGGGCTTTCAGATTGGGGGCTTAGGGAGCCCCTCTTTTCTTGTCTCTGTGTGGAGGACATTTAATTATTGGAAAAAGCATTAATTGTGACTTTTCACATATCTTTGACCTTAATAGTAGTTATAGTAATTATTATTAATTAGCCACTTCCATTCCTGTACCAAGGACACTACCACCTTCCCAATCACCCAAGTTTTCAACTTTAGAGCCATCTTTGATTCTTCCTTTCCTTTCTCCTCTCCTACCTTACATCGCCTCAGTTGTCCAGTCCTGTCAATGCTCCCTTTGAAGTGTCTCTGGAATCTGTTCAGGCCCTTGTTATGTCTTTCTGTACCATTCTAAGGGCCTCCTAATTGGTCTTCCCCACTGATGGCTCCTCTTTCCATTATGTACTTCACATTCATGCCAAAATAATTTTCCCAGTGCATAAGTCTGATTGAATCTCTATCTTGCTCAAAAATTTTCAATGACTTCCCTGTTTGCTATAGATCTGGCTTCAACATACCTTTAAGGCCTAATTGAATGATTCTCCCCTTTAGGAACTCTATTCCAGGCAAGCGGGAATATTAATTATCTTTCCCCATCCTGTCTTGACTTCACCTGCTTCTACCTTTCCTCATTCTTGGAGCTGCCTCTTTCCATATCTCCACATACTGTAATCATAGGCTTTGATCTCTAAGGTACCTTTAAGAGCAACTAATGCCCTCCCATTTTACAGATGAGGACACTGAAGATCTTGGGGTCAAGTGGCTTGCCTGAGGTCACTCGAGTAGTAAGTAGTAGAGCTGGAATTTCAAATTCAAGCCACCTAACTCCAAATTCAGTGCTCATCTCACTATACCACACTGTTCTCTTCCTTTAAGAAACTATTTCCTCTGTGAAGCCTTCTTAAATTTTATTAGAACACTCTGGACTGCTTCTTTACCTTAATCATATTCTACTGTGTCATATCCTTTTGTAGATAGGTCTTGTTAGATTATAAACTTCTGAGGGACATGCCATGCTGGTTTTTTAAAAAATTTGTTTTGTATCCCTAGTGCATAATACAACTTTTTATGAAATGTAGTAGTTCTTAATAAATGTTTGTTGGGTTGAATTGACTTGAACACCTTGTATTTGCATAGTATTTTTCTTGTTAGAAGGTGAATTTGTAGTGGAGAACTCATGGGGTCATCACAACAGCCCTCTGATACTACCTAGTATCTCTATTTTATAGCAATTGAAACTGAGACTCGGAAAAATTAGGGGACTTTCCCCAAGTCCACAGGGTTAGTTAAATGGAAAAGCCAGGATTTAAACTCAGATACTGTGATTTGCAATTTAGTTATTCCTACCATATCAGAAAATCACAGAATTTTGGGTCTAAAAAGGAGTCCTACAGATAAATTCTCTAATCCAATCCCTTGCTTTTACAGATGAGGAAACAGAGGCTTGGAAAGTGTAAGTGACTCACCAAATTCCATACACATATTTATTACTTGTCTAGTGCTTATCACTTACAAGCATTGGCCTGGGCATAGTATACATCGGTAATGCATATATATAAATGGAAAAAAGGTGAGTTTTTAATATGGCAAATATAGAGTAAATTTTGAAAATAAAATTGTTCATTTCCGATTCAAGTGAGGAAAGAAGGAGTTGGATTTTAGGATTTTAGCTGTCTATCTCTTTTGTTCTTTTCCACTCTTTGTGTCCTGTTAAATGACAGGAACTAAAGCTTGCCTTCTCTGCAGGAGTTGCGTGTTTCAAGTATTTCAGGTATCCACTGTATGAAGCAAGCACCCGTCGTGCAGAGTGGAAATAGGAAGTTTTCTGCAGCAGCACGTTGGAGCAATAAGAGATAAGCAATTACTTCATGATGCTGTTGCCTGGGTGTACTTTCCTTTTGATGACTCCTGGCCCCTGTTTGTAAAGCTCACTTCTGCTTTTGTGTCCATTTGGGAGCCAAGGGAGTGTTCTTGTTAGATTCATCAGAGAACAGCACACAGATTGGGACCTAAATTTACTTGGCTTTTCCCCCTTTTGTTATGGAAAAAAACTACTTGGGTAATCCTGCCATCAGAATTTACAAATAATTAAGTCAGTAAATTGGCTCTTGCCTCATCTCACTGAACTATGGTGGTCTTTTTCTGGTATCAGGGGACAAGGTAGCGAGGGAGATTCATAAGATGTTGTTAGGAAAAGGAAGAGAAGTCACTCAAGAGTTGAATAATCATAGCTCTTAGACCAGGCAAAGTAGAAAGAACAGTAACTATTGTTTAAACCAGATGACTTGATATCCTAAAGATACGGGTTTGCTGTGATGTGACATGTTTTCTTGTCCAGACTTTCAATTCTGTGATTCAATGTGTTCAAAATAGTTGCAAAACTTGAACCTGGACCTTTAAGTTGGCCTATCATCTATCCTCCAATACTTACTAGCTGTATGACCCTGGGCAAGTCACTTCACCCTGTTTCCTCATCTGTAAAATGAACTGGGGAAGGAAATGGCAAACCCCTCCAGTATCTTTGCCAAGAAAACCTTGAATGGCACAAAGAGTCAGATGGGATTGAAACGACTGAAGAGCAACAGCAGTATGACTCCTGTATCACAACCTTAAATTTCAGTTTTGTGACACAACATAGGCAGGTGGTTTCTTTAGGGTTAGCAGCATGATAAAAAAAAAAGAGGAAGGAATCCTCCTGAGAGAAGCCTTGGGTTCAAACCCTAGATGAGCACACTTAGTTTAACAGAGACAGTAGAGCAGTGACTTTGGAGTCAGAGGGATTGCCTTGGCATCCCAAGTCTGTAATTTACCAATTGTGTAGGTAAATCACACCACCTTTCTGGGGCTCAGCTTTCCTAGCTGCAAGATGAGAGGGTTAGGCTAGATGATCTTTAAGAATCCTTTCTGAATCTAAATCCTGTGATTCAATGGCTCTCATTGGTGGAGGACATGATGTCACATCCCTAAAATTGCCTACCAGGGCTTAAAGGCAGAACTAGAGCTCTGGAGACGATTTTCATAAACGTTTGGTAGAGGTGGGAAAAGCTGAGATATAGGCTAATAGGTCCTGGTAGCTTCTCCGTCACCCTTCTTACAATCATAATCACCATCATCATAACAAAATAGCTACTTATAGAACTTTAAGGTTTTTGGTAAGCACTTTACATTCTATCTCTTTTGACCTTTGCAACAACTCTCTGAGTTAAGTGCTATTATTATCCCCCATTTTACAGATGAGGAAATCGAGGCTGAGACAAATTGCCGCTGTTCATAAGTTCTGAGGTAGACACTTACTTGAATTTGAATTCAGGCCATCCTGATTCTAAACCCAGGACTGTACTTTGCCTTGTAGGGTTTGAGATTTTTTTGCAAGTGTTTGTACATTGTGAGACTTGGTCCCTTATTAGCACAGCTGTATCCCTTCCGGGATGAATATCCTCTTTTTATACTTTGTCTCGTCGGGCTGCTCTGCCCATCTTTGTTTTATTTAGGGTCAATTCCTTCTAGTTTCATAGTTGAATGCTCCCATGATAATCTGACTTTATGGGTCTTTCATCCACTTTCTATAACTTTTTTCTTTCACTGATTCTCATCATATCATGAAGCAATTTAATCTTCTACCATCCTCCTCCCATAGAGTTACAAACAAATTTTATTCTAAACCAGTGTTGCCCTTGGCTGCCATATTTATCCTCTTGACAAAGAGATCAAGAATACTGCAATATGAGATGATCAAGTGTTCCATCAAATGGTTTTTGTTGTCTTTGGGTGCATGATAGAAAACAGCCATACCAAGCCAAGTCAACAAGCATCTATTAAGTGCCTTCTATATGCCAAGCACTGTGCTAAGCACTGGAGATACAAAGAAAGGCAAAAGAGGGTTCCTGGTCTCAAGGAGTTCACAATCTAATGAGGGAGACAACATAGAAACAACTATATATAAACAAGACATATACAGGATAAATTAGAGATAACCTCAGAAGGAAAGCACTGAGGTTAAAGAAGACTTGGAAGGGCTTCCTGTAGAAGGTGGGGCTTTTTGTTGTTGTTCTGTCATTTTTTTAAGTCGTGTCCAACTCTTTGTGACCCAATTTTGGGTTTTCTTGGCAAAGATACCAGAGTGGTTTGCCAATTCCTTCTCCAGTTCTTGTTACAGATGAGGAAACTGAGGCAAACAGAGCTGAATGACTTGCCCAGGGTCACCTAACTAGTAAGTGTCTGGAAGCTGGATTTGAACTTGGGGAGATGAGTCTTCCCAACTCCAGTCCTGGTGCTCTATTCACTGGGCAACCTAGCTGCCCTAGCAGAGACTTTAAGGAAATAAGGAAAGCCAGGAGGTAGAGATGAGGAGCAAGGGAGCTCTAGGCATGAGGGACAACCAGTGAAAATGCCTAGAGTTGGGAGATGGAGTATTT